TGAAAAGCAAGAGGGGCTGGCAAAGTGCAAAGCGTTCTGGGATCCAGGACCAGATGTCTCGCATCTCTTTCACACTGACTATTTCAGACTTGAAGTTCTCAGCATGAACTGCGAGGTGCACGTTCTGCCTGAGAAACACAAAGCAAAACACTGAGAAAAAAGAGCTTAATGGAAATGACGAAACCTACAGTTTTCTGGTTACTGGGTAGCAACATGCAGAGAGAGCTGAATCCCAAAAGGCCCCAGTGCGTGCACTACTCTTCAAAGGGAATTAAAAGTCTGTTCCTTAGAGAATAAAATAAATTACTGGAGTCTAAGAGAACCCTTGAGAGTTGCTGGCTTTTCTGGAATAGCTGGAGCAACGTCTCCTTATGGCAACAGCAGTCTGTGCTTGTAAATGTAGAGGACATAAGGGCAAGCCAGTGAGGATCACCTTGACCTTGAATAGGGCAAATTATCTGTTGTTTGAGATAAACTCACAGGTGACAGGATTCGAGCAGGAGAACAGAAGCAGCCGAGATGCGAAGCACCCCGGCCCCGGCCATCGCGCAGGAATTGGGACAGCAGCCGAGCCAGCGAGCAGAGCCCATTCAACTCTCCAAAGTGACAACATTACATTAGAACATCTTGAGCAGCGTTCACTTCTCTGCCTAAAGACACGCACAGACTCAGCGCCTGGAGATAACCAAGTGTTACTGCACCCATGACTGGTGCTAAGGCCTTAAAATACAAGTGTTGAAGCCGAGGACAGGGCGGAAATGTGACATAAACTTGTGCAAGACACAGAGGTACTGAGCACACTTTGTTGAGACAATTTTGCAGGATCTGCTTTGCAAGCCACACAAGAGTTCAGCCTAGGCAAAGGATACAATTATTTGCCAAGCAATTATTCTTTTCTGACACGTGCATTTCCTTCCACTCAGCTTCACAGACTACGAAAGACCGCCTCAGTATTGCATAGCTGCATACATCAGAATCCCTTAACTTCCTCCCTAAAACATGCAATATTATATTTATATATATTTCTTGATTGTATTGCCAAGAAGTTATCAGCATTTACACTGCTCCTTAAAGAAGCGCTGGCTAGCAGAAATTGGGAAATGCTGCCTAAAATTTATCCTAGGGGCCTCAGCATCAGCATTTCTAGTGAGGCACCTCCCTAGGCCACTCAGGAACTGAAACCACATGGATTCCTCTGGGATTTCGCTCTGGGCCTCAGCCCTTCCTACCTTTCTGCTCTGCAGCTAAGGACTGGCAGCACTAGGGAACCCATCTGAGCAACAAATCCTTGGGTTTGGTTTATTAGAAGTTAAATTGGTCTCACATTCGAGGAATTATGAACACAGCCAAGACTTTCAACTAGTTTATTACAGTGGATTTTTGAAGGAGAGAAGAAAGGGATGGATAAGCTAAACATTACTCCCAAATATTATTAAAATAGCTTTAAAGATACTTGCTAAGCTTTAGATAAATAGGTCCCAGGCTCATCACTTGCATGTTACCTCCATACTTTTCTCCACACTTAAGTAGATGTATATAAGCACTACAATTAAGTATTTGCACCCAGAAGCCTTTCTTTTGTCTCTGTTCCTCCTCCTGGCTGGGTAACAAGGACTCTTCCCCAGCAAAATCTTACCCTAACCCCTTGTTTCAGTAGCTTCCCTATTAAAACTCCACTTTTAGCACCCTGGAAAAGCCTACAGCCTTCACAGGATGAGAGATCAGCATCTTTACAAACAGATCTCTCCGGGTTACTCAGAGCCACTTAGCCTCATGCTGGCCATTTAAAGGGAAAACCGGTCAAGGCATGGAATTCTTGTTTCTTGAAAACTACTGTGAAATGTTTTATTTCTAATTCTGCCAGCAAAACCGAGCTTCGATCCTGACTGGAGGATTTGAAATAAAGTGCCCTGCTATTTCCAGCTGTAAATCACAGCAGTAGGTGGCTCAGACCTACTGAAATGGGATCCCATGTTGAAACCAATGCCAACAGTAGTCCCCTCCTGTCCAAACTCTGTTTTGTAACAAAAATTAATCAAAGTTTTGGTGGTTTTCAGCAATTTGCAATTAGAGTCACTTGTAACTAGTTCTATATTGAGTCTCTCATTTGGGGTTTTATTTTTTTAGGGTATGGAAAGCCGTGTACTTCAGTGGGGCATCTGACTTTCAAAGTAATAAATAAGCACTAAAAATGGTCACACACACAAAAAAAAACCCACACACAAATTGAGTAAGTAGAAGAGTCTTGGAAATGTTGCTGTAGTTAGGGCAGAAGTGCATGGTAGAAATCGCATGTTTTTTCAATCATAAATCGCAGCTGTAGGTGTTTAAGTCTGAAAACTCATTTTGTGCTAAGAGCAATGTCAACAGACACTCTGTATCTTGTGTATTGCTTAAAATTCATGTGTGTTCCTTTAAAATTCAAAGCTTTCTGCTGCTTTCAGAATCTAGATGACAAGAGTAAAGTGATACACGAACTTCGAATATTTCACTAGGTGGAATTAACAGCCAGGCAACTTATTGGAGGTAAAAGCTTCAGCATGCCAAGTATGATATGAAACATATTTGGTTAAGTTACTCCTTAAAGAGTTCTTTTGCACATTAATGCATGACAAAATTAATTCCAACTTCTATTTTACAAGTCAGTGAAATTGTTAGTGTGCATCTCCCACTAAAGTTAACCCACGGCACCCGCAACGAAGCCAGAAGATCATCTCAAATGCATTCGCTGGAGTTCAGGTTCACACATCTGCACGAATAAATACTACAGGCCAATGTTGCTCCTTCTTTCTAGGCTCTCTGCTTATCAGGGATCACAGTCCACTGATTTCTGAGCTTTAAGATTTGCTTTTCAGACCACAACTTGATGAATGACTTCATTAACCATTAATGCTGTATAGCTGAGTAACTCTGACCTTTGCTACACAGAAGATAAAGTTTGTCCTCTTTTCTCTTTTAAAAAAAAGTACCTATGTAAACAGAAATGTAATCTTGTATAGATAGAGGCAAGTCAATTTTAGGCTTGCGTTCCCTAATTGGGTTCAGTCCAGTATCTTTTCAAACAACTAGAAAAAGCGTGCACAAGAAAAAAGATAACAACAGCATATATCAGGTCTGGTGGGCCAATGCCTAATATTTCTGAGAACTTTACACATTACTTGAGATATTCCCCTAAAAAAATATTTTTTCCACAGTGTACAGGTCACAAATCTTATTGCTAACACTAAACTTCTCCACTCTGAAAAACAAACAAAAAACAAGCCCATATGGTCATATGAAAGTGCTGTGCTGACTAGCTGGGCCTATCTGTGAATCCTGAATCCATCCACAAATCCAAGGACCATACAACTTTGCAGGTGCTGTGAACTAACTCTGCAAGAATGTGTCCAAGAGAGAGCTGTACAGCAACTGGATGCTACAATTGCGGCCCTGCTTCTGTTGCCCCAGCATTAGAAATAACAGCAGCCTCGGAAAAAAATAACCAGCCAAGCAAAGACAGGAAAAAGAAATTAAATAAAGAGCAAAGTGCAAAGCTTGACGTGTTTTAACCTACCTTTTAGGAGATGTAACACTGCAAACAGGAGGGGTGCAGTGGATATGGAAGTGACAGAAGGAGAACGTAGAAGGAGAAAGACAAAAAAAAAAGAAAAAGACACGAAAAGATCAGTGATTTCCTATGTCCATGACAAAGTGATTGAGAAGAGCCTGGAGAGAAACACAGAGTAAGGCTTGATTTGAATCACCAAGAAAGTGGGGAGAGGGAAAAAATAAAAAACAGAGAGGTTAAAATATTCCCTTCTTTAAACATTTTTTTCCCTTTCTGCTACCTGGGCAGAGCTATCTGGGAAGTTATTCATCTTTGTCCATAGGCCAAACACACGTGGACATTGGAACTCACTTTTTTTTCTGAGTGTTCAAGAAATCTCACTCCCAGGATACTTGCTCTTGCCTATGCCAAAACCCAAATCCAGCCTAGTTCACAGCTGTGTCTTTCCAGGGGATTACAGAAGTTTCAGTGTGTTTACAAAAGTAGCCAAGAGCAAAGAAAAGCTACGCTTTAGCAACTCTGCCAAGTGTGGCAGGATCTATTGGCACTATTTGGGTATAAATTAAACACATTTTGCTTGGAAGGCACCACCGTTGTTCTGAGCAAGGGATAACTCTAAAACGCTTCAATGCGGCAGCAGTTTCTGCTTTTGCTAATCCTCATTCTGATCCTGAAGCAGATGCTCTGAAAAGATGTTACGGCTCTTCTACACTTCAAGACAGGAAGGAAAGACATTAGCCCTAGATTGTGAGCGCTGCAACTTCTTCTTTTGTGTGCTGAGTAGGACAGTCTGGAGTCTATCTAGCATGATCTCCCAGTGCCTCAAGGCCTTGAAATATTTAAGGCTGGGTTTTACCCTGGAGAAGCCATGTAAAATAGAAGCTAATCATAAACCAAACTGTGATTCCAAAAATAAACAGCTAGAGAGGATCAGGAACTTCATGAACAGTCTTTATCATGTACAAGTTTCAGGTAATGCTTCCATTGTTTTATATGTCAAATTCTGACAAGTTTACATTTCAATACCATGTAGAGGTTTCCATTTGAAACTATTGTGACTAACTGGGCAACATCATTTGTGAGGTTCTAACACATTGGTGGCTGGTATAAATTTAGGGAAAACAAAGTTGTCTCTTGATATCACCAAGTTCCAGACATCAAATTTACTGACCCCAGCAGACTGCTGCAAGTCACCCTCCTTGTAGAGGCCAGGACAGTTGGCAAAACTCCTGAACACTCAGAAGTTATTTCTGTTTTTTTTTCTTTGGAGAAGTTTTCTGTTGTCACAGAAGACCTCAAAAGACAGAAAATGTCATGACCAGTAATTAATTGCACATATATTTGGACTTTATAGGATACTTATCTTTAGATTATTACTGCCTTTTCTGTATACATGCGGAAATCTCTTAGCCATGTCCTTACTATATTTGCATACTATTATGTATATGTATACGTATTATGTATTTGTATTTTATGATTCTATTTTACTACCATACTAGAGCAGAATGTCACTTACTATTTTCAGTCAAACAATGTTCAAAAGTAACCTGGGAATAAGATTTTCTTATTTCTTCCTTAGTTTACTAAGACAGCTCCTGAGCTACATTCACACTCCAAGACGGTGTTTGCCTACTTACAAGTAAAGAAACTGCAAAATTCAAGATATTGGACAGCATGAAATTGAAGTTTTGTACAAGTTGTCTCATATTTAAAAGATAATCCCATCAATACTTAATTTTGGGGCTGCTGGCTTTTTCTAATCAAGTCCACAGAGCAAAAGAGTGAGAGGAGATACCAGGAACCACCCAGGCTTGCCTGGCACTTATCACAACTCCCAGCCTCATTTCCTCAGGGTCACTCTGACGGGCTGCCTGTTGAATTTGAGAGACTCTTACCTTTTCTGCTTGACTGTGATGCCCTTCTGCTGTAGGGCCTTCTCGTTGGCCATCTGCAAGAGCTGGATCTCCTTCCGAGAGAACAGCCGGATTGCAAAAGCTTTTTCCAAAAGCCGCTCTGGGGTGACCGACTTGGCGATGTCTCTCACAAACGACCGAATATCCTGCTGTACGTTGTCCGACTCCTTGGGCTGCCCCGCTCGGACTTTGTGAAAGAATTTCAGAAGAGCCAGTGCAACACGGTAGAGAACCTTGTAGCCCTCCACCAGAAACACGTCGAAGACCCGGGCAATGTAGACCATGGGCAGCTCTCCAAAGAGCCAGCGCTGCCAGTCGGAGTAGACTTCCAAGACATCCTCAGACACAGCCACCATCAGCTTGTGCGCTGCCTGGCAGTACTTGTTCACCAGATCACCAAAGGTCATGCAGGAGGACTCAAAAGCTAAGAAGGTCTGGTCAATGAGGCGCTTGGAGGGGTCATTGCAAGCAAGGATGCGACAAACCTTCTCGAAGCACTCTGCCTCATCCCTGCTGTAGTGCAGGAGCAAAGCTGTCACGGAGGGCAGCGCCGGGCAAAAGGAGATGTCTGGGAACTGGTTTGCAACGCACAGGATGATCTTCCTGACCGCCCCGATGCCTTCGGCATTCAAGCAGTAGGTGGGAACCAGGCTGTTATCCACGAACTCCGGCAGTGGAAGGGAGCTGCTGCTCCGCTTTCCGATGATCTTTACAACAATGTCCCGGTACACGTTTGCATCTGGAGTCACCGTGCGGCACGGAATATCATTGATTAGTTTGTGGTACACTTTGGCTCTCAAAGAGTGATTCTTGGCCCAGTAGCCCTGCCGAGCCAGTTGCTTAAGCTCCTGGAATTCCGTGCAGCTCAGTTCCTTTGGATCTTGGCTCTGGACAGTAACGTCCATTTTCTCCCAATCCACAAAGCGGTTGTATTCATCCATGGCTCCAGGAAAAGCAGACGAGAAAAATCATGAGAATGGAGACCTTATCTGATCATTAGGTGACTCACAGCTTCTCCTGCAAGAGGGTAAAGGAAAAGAAATAACTAGAGATGTGAGTAACAGATAATTTCCTATTTACTTGACAAACACATACATTCAGCTTGCTCCTGTACTGCCAAGACTGTTTTTCAAAGCAAAATAAGTTAGAGGCATGCTTTAAAAGCAAAACAAACCCAAATCCCCACTTTTATTACTATTTTCATTACACACTTGCCAAGACTCACACTGAAGCAGTCTAGCAAGGGCCAGCCCAGACATAGCTCCTGTGGACACCTCAAGGCAAAGCGAATTTCCCTCATGCAGCCACAAAGCCTGAGATTAGTTTGCTGCTCTGGCACTTACGAAACTACTTGCTAATTTTTTTCTCATGTCTGCACCATGCGTGTGACCCTGACCTTGCCTGCGCTCCTATGACCACGCCAGCCTCTAGAGGGCCCGCTCTCATCAACCTCGAGAAGGTTTTTGAGAACGCAGCCCGCTGCAGCGCGCACAGCTCTCCATGCTGCAGGCTCTGCAGAGCAAAACGCTCCCTGCCACACGCAACACTCCGCTCTTATAACCTGAAGCTTTTTGCTGCGGGTGCTGCAGCACGGTTTGAACCTCATAAGATGGTTATACCATCAAGGCAGACAACTCCAGGCTTCTCCCTGCTTCGCTACTGGGAAAATGAAGCCAATGTTTTGCCTCATGTAGGCAGAGATTCCTAACGTACAGTAGCATTAGCTCAGACAAGATATTTAATCCATACAGTTTTAGATGCTGGCTAAATATTAATCTGGGTATTTTGGAAGCAGATGCTGAAATTTAAAAATTTAACTCTTCTTTTAAAGTATGGCAGCAACACAGAGGTGCCTCTTAGCAAAGCCTTAAAGACAGGTCTTCCTCTTCCCTTTCAAATATTTCACATTTTTTTTGTACTAAAAAGATGGCTTTTTAGGTTTTCTTTGTTGAGCATAAGAGCCACAGAGAAATGCCAACATTTGTTCCTGCTGTACCCTTCATTGTGCAAAATTAATTCTCAGCCTGTAATTAAAGGTGGCAACAAAATGTCCCCATTTCAATTGTGAAAACAGGACTTCTTCTGAAGTTGGAAAGGATGTGTCTCAGTATGAGCTGAGAGGGAGTCCCCAGGATATGCAGAGACAGCCATGGAAGGACAGCAGTCCATTGCAGAAGTTAATGTTTTTTTCTTTAGTCATTTTCCGCATGGAAAGCACAGGGAAATTCATCACCACTATCTAAAATCTTGGAATACCCTTGCAGAGAAAATAATTAATCCTGTCTCGTTACATGAGTTAACTTTCTCCCTGGAAGTCACTATTCTAGAAGCTAATGGATTAGATGAGCACATGTTCCTCAGTAGCTTTCCAAAGTCAGTGGGGAAGAAAAGTAGACTGCAGGAATCTGGGATAAGAGCTTGCAGGCTTATGTACCCTTTGGCTTGGAAAACCTGCTGGGTGTGCAGGTGGTCCTGGCTGCTCACACTGCTCAAAGCTCTAGATGCTACCAGGGCCGATGACAGCAAGGAAAGGGGCACTGCCAAGGCTGCCAGCTATCAAGTGTACCTGCAAAACCATCAGAATTAGTGTGTTACAGTGTAATGACGCAGAACCACTGATACTGGGCCAAACAGCTACTCTAAGCCAGCACCTCTCCACCTGGGAGTATTTACTTGCCAGAGAAGAAGAGCCTACAAAGCCCCAGGAAAATCCCAGCTAGCCTATGTCTCCTCCAATGTACCTGCTTCTCCACCCATCCTTCCATAGATGTGATGTCTCTTCTGGCAGTCATGTAAAGAGTAACACTTCCTAAGAACTGATGGGGACAGAAAATCTGCCCTCATATCCAGACTGTCCAGCTTCCTCTTATAAAGAAGGGAACAAGGTGCAGTCAGAAGAGAAACAAAAACAAATTTCAGAACAAACTGTTTGCACAAAGATATGGTTCAGGAGAGGCATTGAGCCCCATTTCTACCTCCTCTCTGCAACGAGTCTCCTTCCATTGAGCTCCGTTTCTATCTCCTCACTGCAACAAGTCTCCTTCCCTCCTGCTGGCAAGTAACCTCTAACTGGACCTGGGGACAGCAGGATGGATCAGTACCTGAATTATATAGAAATGCAATGCTTTCAAGTACCTGTGAAGACATGAATGTAAAGGGATTGTTAAAGTTAAAGACAAAAAAGTTCATAGCAGCAACAAAGACTAAAAATTACCTAAAAGTTAGGTATCTACTTTCTTTAAATGGAAACAGTCATTATCCTTTTCAATCAGAGATGGACTTGTACAAAACATGAAAAATAAACATAGAAGAAAAGAACAGAAGCAACAGAACAAACTATTTTCTCAGCAACTGCAAAAGAAATGGAAACTTGTTAGGTCTATTAGACTATAACCTAAAAGCTGGAAGCTCCGTTAAGTGCAATATAAAAAAAAAAAAAAAGACAGAAGATTAGAACTACAAAGCATATGTTGAAAATACACCCAGAATAGCTGCAGAGCAGGCATGAGATTTTTTCAAGGTTAGGTATAAACTACGAAGCAAGCAAATAATCATTAAAATTCAAAACCAGGCAATGACCATGGCAACTGACACGGGCAGGTTTTCAAGTCAGTGACTAAAAGGGTTCAGGAAATATTTCGCTCGCTAGTCTGGCCACATTTTCCATTTAGTTCTTTCCCTCGTCCTTTGCGCTAGTTTCAGAAGATGCCTGAGCACCTTGTTGAAGCTGTGTAAAACAGACATCAGTGGAGCCAAGTACGACAGCCAGGGGTGGGATACGGCTGGCGAAGAATTAAAACTTGAAAGGATCCAAAGGTACATCCATATGAGAGAGAGAGAGAGAGAGAGAGAGAGAGAGGGAGGGAGGGAGGGAGGGAGGGAGAGAGAGAGAGAATCATAATTTAACTAAAAATTAGTAAGTTTTGAACTTGGCCTTTTGAGGTTTCAATCACAGAAATACATACTCTTTCTGCTTTTCTTTTTTCTTACGGTTCATTCAGGCAATCAGCTTTTGATTTCCAAAAGCCAGGAAATATTGAATTGAGACATCTGAATTGCAATTATTTCAGAGTACAATTGTTCCTTGCAAATCCAGAATACACACATCCACAGGAATGAAATAATGACATTAAAATCTGTCCAAAAATAGATTCCAACTTCAATTAAAGCTTGGGAAGATTACGTGATTTAATATTGCTTTAAATAAACATTAGAACAGACCACCCCACCTCCCCAAACTGTAAAATACACTTAGTACATACAAGTATAAACTTATTTCCTATTCAAGTGTCCTTGCACCTACCTTCTGCAAGTTTGACAGCAAGTTAATAGCTTATTAAGTCATTTTATTTACATTCAACATACCTGCTATATAACAAGAAACCTGAATTTTGAAATTACCAGATTTTTTTCTTAACCAGGGACAGTAACTTTAAGGACTGCTCTGTAAATATCCTCCATTCACCTATTTCCTCTGTACTGTAGTAATACAAGTAGGCACTGCCCTGTGTTAAATGGCACAGGTTTTTATAGTGCCAACAGAAAGCAAACATTTTATTTTCCTGTCCTACAAATAAAGACTATTACTGACCTCTCAGAGCTCCAGCATGAGTTTTGTTGCTTACAGTGGCAAGCAGTGATGTAGCAAGAGGAGAAGCTCATGTCCACTTTTACCACCTGGTCACCCTCCTCATCTGTGCTGAAGGAACACGTGCAGATAATCTTTGAGGAAGCAATATTGATTGTCGGCTATTAGTCCTCATCCAAGAAAAGAAAATTAACTCCCAGTCTCGTACTAAAAGATTTCAGGTCCTTGGAGAATATTGAATCATGTCTGGGATGTCTGCTTTATATAACACCCAAAAATCTGATGAAGGTTCAAAGAAAAACAGAGCACTATAAAGACATAATGATAGTGCAGAAGCAAGACAGGTAATAGACAGTTTCTCCTTTCTTTCTCAATACTTTGGCATGTCCTGCAGTTTTCTCTGAATGCAGATTCATAGCACAATACCTTCATCTCTCTGCTATCTAGACCTGGAGATCAAGTTTGACAGCACAGTGCTCTCCTCACCCTGCTACAGCCCAGGAACACGCTTTATTTGCACGTTTACGGCTTCAGTGACCACCTGTGGCCAGGCAGATTGCATCAGAGCTAGAATTAAGCACCCCATTTAGCAGGGAAGCCAGTGCGTGCGGCGCAGGGCAGCAATTTCAATGCTGTTGACATACTTTAGCACGATGATCCTTTCCAGCAGAGCACATAGGAGCTCGATGGATTGCCTTAATGAGGCTAAATGCAGTTCGATTGCTTTAGAAATTGCCCCGGGCGCTGTGTACAGCAACAGCTGGACCCCAAGCCAGCATCAGGGAATGGAATTCAGCTAAATTCAGGGAATTCAGCTCTGAAATGCTCCAATATTGCTTTATCAACAACAACAGAGGGTTAGTTTTTTGTTTCCCAAAGTTTTTCCACCTTTCTTTGGGACAAAGGCTAGAAACTACTGAACCAAAGTAAGGATTCGCCTCTCATTTCTGTGAGTAACCGATAAAGGCTGATACAGGGCAAACCATTTCAAATTTCTTGCGGGGAAAAAGACAGAAAATACATTTTTGTAAAAGGGAAGAAAGAAGAGAGAAACATTGTAAGAAGATGAAGAACAGTAAATGTTATCAAAGGCATAAATCAAGAGCTTCTGTCCTGCCTGTACCATAAAAAAGGAGGAATAATTAATAAAAATGGGATAATTTCAATTTTCTTTTTAAAGGAAATTGTTTTCCAGCAACTTTTTTAAAAATATGTTGCATTTACAACTTTATAAAACAATTCCATCAGCTGCTATAACAAGAGTTAAAAACTAAACCTTTTGTGAAGAAATACATAATGGCATCATTTTTTTTTTCTCTCCAAGAAGTATATAGTTGCTTGGCCAGGAAACAGGAATTAACACCTGCAATCCTGCCAATAAATGCTAATGAGACACTGCCCTAATTTATCTGCTAATGCCAGGCA